CATTTCCTAAGGCCTCTTGCACACTGTAGCTTGAAAAAGCTCAGTACAGCATTTTTTTTTTTTTTTTACTGAGGTGAAATGTAGCCCATTATTTGCAATGTGCCCTTGCACACAGGCACGTAAATAAGTGTTGCAAATTCCTCATTAAAAAAAAATAGGAAAATCTGCATTCTTGGTCAGTAATTTACGCTGCCTGCTCACAAAGTGCAAATACGTGTATATGAACATAAATCTTAATCAATTCTCCTTAAGAATATATTGTGCATGCAAATGCGCGAACGCAAATATGAGCATAAATACGCACGAATATGCTCAAAACAAGCATCTGAAATTACGTTTAAAAAAAGTACATACATCAGTACCATGTGAAAAGAGACCCAATTGATTTTCTTGATTATTATCAATTCTCTGCCAAGTAAAGTTGCTGAGGCAGCTCCAAATTCTAATATGCTAATTGAAACAGTCGCTTCCTATAAATAATATATCACATTGGAGCTTGTGAAAGATTTCTGCTGACAATATATAAAAAGAGATCTAATGTATGAATCTGATGCACACTTTAAGTGTATGAATCTAACAAATATTGTGTATTTTAGTGCATTCCCCATCGAAGTGCACATGGGAAACTTCCATTTTTAGTTATTATTTGCAGCATGCTAAAAGGCCTCATTCACACAGTCATATTGACCAGTATACATGTGCAGAGGGCCATGTTTACTGGCCTGGCGTTCAGAGCCATCAATCATTCCTACACGGATCTACAAACCATAGGGTAAACGTGGCTCTCTGCACAGGTGTACTTCCCCTATGTAACATTGCACCCACATTAATTCATATACATTTTGTAACATAGATATTTGGTGGTTTGGTGGTGATATTTTGGTGGTTTTAAACCCATTGATTTTTTAATCTTTTACTATACAAAGAGAAAAATTCTTTAAACGTGTTTTCACTTTTTTTCTTTCTGTTGTATATATATATATATATATACCAGAACAGTACAAACACTCCAAAAAGTACCCATTTGTTGAAAGCAGACACACCAAGGTTTTTGAAAATTAAGCAACATGTTCATATTGAGGTGGTCAAGGTGCACTTAGCCTTTGAAAGTTGCCTACTGAAGTCAGTTGCATGTCTTCCTTTATTAGTGACGTAAAGGTCCCTGGATAATTAAATTGCAATAGCTATATATCTTGTGGAAACCTAAAACATTCCTACATACACTGGTGGTCAGATGTACCAACCGCCCCATTATTGGTGGTTAGTGGCATTTTAAGCCCCCCATCATTGATGGTCAGGGCCTCTTTCAATGCCTCCACATTGAATCCCAAGCCTTTCCCTGCTGCCTTTATCTTTTTATTCTCCTTCCATCAGGCTACAAACCTCAGATCTGGATGATACGTCTGCTACAAACATTTTTCCTAAGTTAAAAGATGCTATTGAAGCTGTTTGCCCTTGCTTAGCATTGAAGCAGCCTGGGTCTGCTGGCCCAAATGTATCTAGTAAGAGGTCTCTAAAATTCTCTACAGCAGCTAAGACCATTCCAGTCTATTTGCTGGTTGCGACTGTCCTATATGGAGAATGCCCTCACCCAGGGAAGATTTTTTTCTCCCCCAAAACATTACACCCAACTATATTCTATTGAGTAACGTTTTCTTAAAGTATAACTAAAGGCAAAACTGATATTTTTAAGTTTCGGATAGACTGGAGAGAATCAGAACACCTGTCAGGATTTATGATTGTTCGTGCCCCTGTTAGGGAGATTCACCCTCTTTATTTTTCCTAGTTACCATTATTACTGAAAGCGAGAGTAAAAGAAAATCCCAAATAATGGGTTGGCCTCAGAGCAGGAATAGTGGGATTATCTTCTAATGTGAACACTACTTCCTGTGACCCTGGTGACAACTAGGGATTCCCTCACTTTAGATAGATTTTCTCTCACTGTCTGTTTTGGCTATGAAACAGGAAGTGAAGAGAAATCTCCCCAATGGGACACAGATGGCAAAAGTAAACCTTTCAGGGGCTTTGTCTTTAGCCTCTGCTTTAAGAAGTGGCTGGATCCACCACAGAAATTGCCCATTTCCTAGGTTAATACGACCCTTATGACCCCTGTGGAGGATCATCCTGTGTTCATAGAGCTGATAGAGAAAAAGTTTAGAGATCCTCTTTAAGGCTATCTTTGCCCTTTGTCTTTTGCCCTCTTGACCTGTTTGTTATGTGGGCCTGTTGCTTTTGTTTGCTCTGTTGACCACTCCTCAGTTGGAATGTTTTTGGACAGCTAAATCAAAATGATTTAAAGAAGCTTGTGTCCTATGCTGTATAATCAGGATTTTAACCACTTGCCCTCCAGAGGATTTACCCCACTTCCTGACCAGGCCATTTTTGCAATACGGCACTGCATTATTTTAACTGACAATTGCACGGTCATGCAATGCTGCACCCAAATAAAATGTATGTCCTTTTTTCCCACAAATAGAGCTTTCTTTCAGTGGTGTTTGATCACCTGTGCGTTTTTTATTTTTTGCGCTATAAATAAAAAAGGCTGACAATTTTGGAAAAAAAAAAAACCAATATTTTTGACTTTTTGCTATTAAAGTTGTCCAGTAAAAAAAATTTAAAAAATCAAATTTCGTCATAAATTTAGGCCAAAAATGTATTCTGCCACATGGGCAGGAAGGGGTTAACATCTGGGTCGATCGAAGGGTTAACTGTGTGCTGTGTGCTGTGTGCTGTGTGCTGTTTTACTATGGGGACTGTGTGTGTGCTTCACTGTAAGCACACTGTAAGCACACTGCTTTGTATGGCTCTGCTATGCAGAGCCATACAAAGCAGTGTGCAGGAGCTGACAGGGGAGAGATCTATATTGTTTCTATACAAGTCTCTCCCCCCGTCGGAAATACTCGGCGATCACCGGGAGCTGGCGAGTAATTACCAGCCGGGACCCGGTGATTGACAGCTGAGGCCGCGAATGGCGGTGCGGGTAGGGTGCGCCCCCTACCCGGAACTGCAAAATCACGTGTATATATAAATACATGATTTTGCGCACCCGTGCTGCCCTGTAGCAGTATTTCTGCTATAGGGCGCCATGCAACCAGTTAAACTTACCAGTAAAATACATTTTCTGGAGTACAGTACAGGACCCACCACTCTGTTCTTATGATCCATCTTTGTTCTAACCCTTCCTCACTCTATCCAGATCTAAAAAAAATAAAAAAAATGGGGGATGGGGGAATCCCTCCTGCAGTGCTATTATGTACTGCCAGTTGAGAGCCCTCCTCACAGGAAGAATACAATGACCACTGCTGGCGGCTCCAGGATGGGTGTACTGAAGTTGCTTGATAAATCAACTTCAGCATCACCAGCCTTGCTATAGATGGATCGAAATTTTGCCAGTTCCTGCTGAACCAGCTGAATTTCGATTCACCTATGACCAGCTTTACACTTTAACTGAGTGCCTAACACTAAGTAACCCCTGAAAATGCTTCACTTATAGGTCCTTGAATAATTGCTGCTAAACATATCAATCCTGTGCCATAATCTTAGAGAATCTTCAGGACACCTAAATCTAGGATCTGACTCTTATAAAGCTGATATCCAGGCAGACATAAAAAATAAATTAATTATGTAATTATTAAATGTACTCTCTTTATTTTTAACTGCAGCTAGTTTATATCTGTAATCCCATGTACAGCAGATTGGGAAAATGGGAATAGTACAGGGTTGGAAATAGGAGCCTGTATGCTCTTGTGAATGCCAGAGATGACCTAATCAGTCTGCTGCTGCTCCTTCAATCTCTAATGACAGAGAGGAGGCAGGGAGGTCACTAACCTGTATTGCTTAATTGCAGCAGAGAAATGTGAAGTCAGTGACATAGCTCTGCTGTTTGCCAGGGTTGTGCAAATGTCTGTAATGCTCTCCATTTCATCCCAACATTATGATCTCTTTTCAAGATATATATTGTATTTTTCACCCAGGAATACAGCTGTTTGTGTGGAGTCTAGCTTTCTATCCACTTTACCTTTCCACACAAACTGTTTAATTTTAATAAGGAGGAGTTTCCTCTGTAACACTGTGAATAAATAACGGGATAATCAGCTAACAAAATGCCAATGTATCTTTTTGTCTTCCTTTGCAAACATCCATGAATACACAGAACTGTAATTTAGCTGGAATACAAATGTGTGTTCCATTAATTTATTTAAACTCTCATCTTTGTAGGTGATTAAATAAAAAAAAAACATACCTTGATTTAGCATTCATTTTTGGACAGACTGCTATTGGTCATTCCTCTGCTTTTTATCACTTCTTTTATTCTGTAATTCCGATGCTTTCACTTTCTTTTTTGCTTTCTTTTCAATAATTGACTGAATCTGAGCAATGTCGAGAGGTACATTTGAGGAAAGAAGAACTTCATAATTTCTAAAAATTTTGTGGAATAGTTGTACATGTTCATTATAAAAACTTCTGAGCGTTACAATGTCCTCTTTAATGGATGCAATTGAAGAACTGAGTGGTTTTAATGTAGTTTCAATAGTTTCATTGCTATAAATATTTTGTTCAGCAAAATAAGATTCCAGCTTATCAATTTTCTCACTAAGATTCTTTATGTCCTTTTTCAAGATGGCAACATCACTATGCTCTGACTCATCAGTATCCCTTGATGCTTCATGGCTTGGTTCCATATGAGCCAAATTGCCCTGCTGGAAAGGACTATAATAGGTCTTTCCTTCACTATGTTGTTCAACATTGAAGATGGTGGACGTAGCTGGTAAATTGTCTTTTTGTATTTGCATCTCCAGAAAATTTAGTCGGTCAGAAATAGAATCTATTGTTATCTGATGCCTGTCTATCCTGTCTACATTATTATTTAATGTTTCATACATTTTTTCTATTGATACATGCAGTGCTTCAGGGTTATCTTCTGAGAAAAGGTCTAAAACTTCTTCACCCAGCAGTGCTGCCAAAACTCTCTCATGTCTTATTGCATCTTCCAATAGAGAACTGAATGAACTGCCCAGATGTTTGATATGATTATGAATTTGATTGTTTTCTAACCTGAGAAATTTAACATCATCGGTAAAGTTTGTAGCTTGAGATTGCAGCTGATTGGTGATATGCATAAGCTTTCGTCCCTGTTCTTGCTGGGCTGTTAGAGACTGGCGGTTAAGTTGGAGTTCCAATGAGAGATCTTCAACTGAATTTTGCAATGATATCTTTGAACTTCCTTCCTTTTGTTTCACATCTTCAATTCCATACAAAATGTCCCTATACTGGTTAGAGAAATTCCTCTGTATTTCCACAAGAGCAAGAATGTCTGCATTCATTTTGTGACAGTCGCAATCCTTGAAAAGCTCATCAATGCTATCTTGTATACTGGCAATAGTGTAATTAAGTTCCATTATCTGTCGTTGAATTAAGACTTTGTATTCCTCCAGAATGAGACTTTTCTCCATGAACTGAACCTGTACCCTTTCAGTATTCTTTTTAAATTCTGTGCGAAGCTCTTTAATCCATTTCTCCAGAGTAGAAATATTCTCAAAAATGACATCTTGCTCTGTTAGTAATTCTTGAATCTCTTTCTCATGCACTCTAAGAGTATCATTAATCTGCGTGTTTGTAATTGATACCACTTCCCCTTCTCTTTGTCCACACTGTAATGTGATATTCTGAGATAAATCGAATATATCATCCTGAATTTGCTCCTGACCTCTTCGAAGTTCACTAATACTAAAGTTCAAATAGGAATACTGTGACTGTTGCATCTTCAAGTTCCTCTTCAACTTCATGTCTGTGTCTGTTTTAAACATGGTGAAGTTAAAGTGGATTACAGCCTGCTGTGTATGAAAATGGTTGGCCATGTCATGTTTTAGCTGTTCAAGTTTGTCAACATTTTCCTGAATCTTTGATTCAAATTTTGTTCCCAGCTCATAAAGGTCTTTCTTGGGTACAGTGTTCTCCAGGAATGTATCCAATCTCTTTCTGTTGGATTCAACATTTTCAGAGAGGTTCTTGACCATGCTGTTCAGATTCTGTAGACTTTTGTTAAAGCTGTTCCACACAGGGTTAAAATGAGCCTTTAGGAAGTTTTCCACATGTGGTAGAAACACTTCTCGGAGGAGACGGTCATCTATTTCTAAATCTATAATAAATTAAAAAGAAATATATCATCTTTATTTTGTATGTGAAAAACAATGCGTATGCGAGAACTGTATTTTGTTTCAACAAATTTGAAATTATTGTTTGGTCTTTGTTGATGTAATAAATAGGAATGAGCTCAGGCAAGTTCGGACACGAATCTGAACACATCTGAGCTATCCCACTGGGAAGCTGTCAAAGCCGACAGCCAATCATAGGAAGTGGAGGCATTCCCCACCCCATATATGCAAGGGGCATGTATTCGTATGGCTGGGGGCAGGGAATGTCTCTACCTGCTATGATTGGTTATCGGCTTAAGCAGCTTCCTGCCAAGACAGCTCAGGTGACTTGTGTCCAAATATGCCTGTGCTCATCACTAGTGAAAAAAAAAAAATATATATATGGTAAGTATGGTCTGGATATAACAAATGTTGCCCAGTTTGCATTTTTAGCCACTTGGTATGTACTGGCTAAATTATTCTTAAAGTACAAATACATTCAGTACATCTCTGCAGTACATTTACATTTATCCATAATTTGTCTCATTAAAAACGCTACAAGAACCAAAATATACTAGCTGATCCTGCTAGAAATCCAGCGAGCTCTTAACATCTTGTAGTGAGCTGATAACATTGCCTCTGTACAACCTAAATCCCCAAAAGCATGACCATCTGTGCCTCGGTTCTCTTCTGCTGGATACAGAACACCTCCCCCCTATGTTATGAAGGTAAAGAGAGGGGAGTTGGTCTGAAGTCTAGCAGAGAACTCATGTTTGGCATTGCCGTACTGCGTTTTTAAGAGGCAAATATGGGGAAATGTATATTTATTATGGAGATGTACTGAATTTTTTCTTTCTTTTTTTACTAGATATACAATTAAATGGCTCAAGTGAACATCTAAACAGAGATTGTTTCTTCATGCTGTTAAATTTCTAACACACACTTAAGAATGTTGTAACAAAATAGATAATAGAAAAAAATACAGAAAAAAAATAGAAAATCATAGAAAACATACATCAGTTCCATGCATGGTCAATAATGATTTTTCATGAGTTACTTATTGGTGTCTTGATCTCAGACATCTTCCATACTGGTGCCAAATCAAGACTAATAGACCATACCCATGGCCAGGGATCTATTTACTATAATGCCATTTGTGGGCCAGTGCATGGGACAGCAGGATTACCTAAATATTTAGAAACTATGATCACTTTTTCCTTATTTTGTTTCTCTCTTCTTTGGATATAAATGCCTTAATTCAACAAAATAACTATAGGTGGGAAGGGGTGCAGGGGATGGTGAGAGGAGTCAGAAGGCTCATTATGACATCACCTATCTTTTCTCTTGCTTGGTAGTCTGTATAGTTCAAAGGTAGATCTGCATATAAACAACAAATCCTGAGTCTGGTCCAGTGATAACTTCTCATGGTTAATAATCTGTCCTTCTGGATTGGACTTTCTGTCCCAAGGGGTAGTCCACCATTCTACTTCATAATCAATGGCTCTAAAGCAGGGGTGTCAAACTGGCGGCCCTCCAGCTGTTGCGAAACTACAAGTCCCATCATGCTTCTGCCTTTGGGAGTCATGCTTGTAACTGTCAATCTAGTAATGCTTCATGGGACTTGTAGTTTGGCAACAGCTGGAGGGCCGTCAGTTTGACACCCGTGCTCTAAAGGCATGGCAGTGAACACACAGGTTCTGAGGGACAGGGGCCTATCAGATTTGATGATCCTGACAATTCAAAAAACTAGGAAATCATCTACCGTTCTGCATGGAAAGCCTAATTTGCATGGTGCACAGCTCAAAATTCCATTTAAGGAAAAACTCCACATTCTGTCTTTCCTCCAGTCCAGACCTGGGCATATTGCAGCCTCAGGATTAAATGCAGCCCTTTGGTTGTCCTTGTCCAGCCTGCAATGCCTTCTCTATCAGCATTGCTTAGGAGACATATCAACGCTTTCCCACCACTCTGATACCAGGCCAAGTTCTTCCGTGTTAGCACCTGCACACTGCAAACCCCAGGAGTCGTGCACCTGTCCTTCACCCCAGATCAGGATCTGCAGAACTCCTCCCTGTGCTGATCTCAGGCTCTCTTTCCAGTCACAGTGCTGAACAGTAGATCAGTTAAAGTGGATGCTCAGTCATATCCTAGCTATATGTAAACCCGCTCACACCCCCATTCTAAGCTTTTCTAACTACCCTGTAATGGAAAGATGTCTATACTTACCTTTGCTGAGGGCCCTTCGGTCTGGTCACATAAACAGCCCTCAGCATCGGCTTCAGGCTAGAGGAAGGACAGCCGACAACGGATGCCCCATAGTAAGTCTATTGGTGCTTTTAACCCCTATCCCCTATCAGTTCCCTGCTTTTACTAGCCTGCCCTATACCTGTGCACTGAGGATGACAGCAGCAGCAGAGGAGGCTGGGGGGAGAGGGGGGCAGAAGACATTTCTGGGGGGGAGGGGTCCAGAGGTCACTGCTATGGGGGAAAGGGGGGGCAAAGGACACTACTGGGGGGGAAGTGATATGCAGAGGACACTGCTATGGGCAGGCCCACCCCCATAGCAGTTCTGTACTACCCTTCATATCACCCCCCATCCCACAGTAGTGTCCTCTGCTCCCCCTTCCCCCCATAGCAGTGACCTCTGGCCCCCTTCCCCCCCCCCAGCAATGTCATCTGCCCCCCTCCCCCCCCTCCAGAAGTGTCCCCCCCTTCCCTCCCATGAACAGATATTTTAAAAAAATCTAAACTCCCAGCAAGTGGCTTGGGTATGGGATTTTTCTGCCCCCTCCTGACCCAGGTGCCCTAAGGCAGTTGCCTAAGCAGTCGTATGCTGGTGCCCACCTTAGGGCACCAGGGTAGCTAGGGGGCAGAAAAATCCCAATCCCCAGCCACTTGCTGGGAGTTTAGATTTTTAAAATACCTGTCCATGGAAGGGAAGGGGAGGCAGAGGTCACTACCGGGGGGGGGGGGGGGGGCGATGGCGCCCAGTGTATGGCTGCTTAGACAGCCACCTTAAGGCACCAGGGTAGCTGGGGGGCAGAAAAATCCCAATCCTCAACCATTTGCTGGCAGTTTAGATTTTTTAGATACCTGCTTTCCAATGATCCCCTTTATTGTGCAGCTGAAAGCTATCATCTCCTCCTCACCCTCCCACCAGCGTACAGCTGCTGCAGGAGGAAAATCCACGGGATCGGTTCTAGTAAACGCCTACCCCTTTCATCCTTGTTCCTCCTTTTTTCTGGTGCCTGGCCCTTCCCCCAATTTTTCCCCTTTCAACAGGGCTGCTAAAGAAATGGTGAAAAATATAAAAAAATAAAAATGTAAAAATAAAAACTACTGACACCATCCACTGCCCTACTGACACCAACCTTTACCCTACTGACACTGTTAATTGCTCTACTGACACCATCCATTGCTCTACTGACTGACAACAACCTCTGCCCTATTGAAACCATCCACTGCTCTACTGACTGACAACATCTGCCCTACTGACACCAACCACTACCCTGCTTACTGACACCATCCACTGCCCTTCTGACACCATCCACTGCTCTACTGACTGACAACAACCTCTGCCCTACTGACACCATCTACTGCCCTACTGACTGACACCATCATCCACTGCTGACAACTCTGCTGACACCATCTACTGCCCTGCTGACTGACAACAACCTCTGCCCTACTGACACCATCTACTGCCCTGCTGACTGACAACAACCTCTGCCCTACTGACACCATCCACTGCTCTACTGACACCATCCACTGCTCTACTGACTGACACTGTCCATTTTTAAGGGAGGCTAAGTTTGTATTTTTACAGTGACATTAGTTTTCTTATATTTTTCTACGTTTTCCTTGCTATTTAGTTAGGCCTTGCTAGTTAAATTTTTTTTTAATGGCGCTGAACCCTGGTGATCTTTGATCTCTCTCACGTTGTTCGGGTAGATCTCCACCTCTCAAAGGTTACCTACCCCTGCTTGATCATATCCATTAGTGCTTTCTGGGCTTTTCAGCATCTCGCATATGTTTCTCAGATATGTAAACTGCCATCTGGTCTTCTTTCCACACTTTTATTATTTATTTATTACAGGTACTTATATAGTGCCGTCAATTTGCGCAGCGCTATACATATATTTATATTGTACATTCACATCAGTCCCTAACCCTCAAGGGGTGTACAATCTAAGGTCCCAACTTACATTCATACATACACATATTAGGGCCAATTTAGACAGGAGCCAATTAATCTGCCAGCATGTCTTTGGAGCGTGGGAGGAAACCGGAGTACCCAGAGGACACCGACACAGGTACAGGGAGAACATGCAAACTTCATCCATGTTTATAAGTTTGTAGCTGCATTCATGGTTGAACTCTATGTCTTTTCTCTATAATAAAGTTCCTGTTTCCTTTTTGCAGAGAAGCAGCAGGTAAACACATGTGGACTGTGCACTGTCTGTTCTGTAGGGCTATATACAGAATTTCTAACAAGTGGGAATGTTGTATAGGGAATGCTCCTTCAGGTTTTATGCTAGTGTCTAATCACCTGGATGTAGCTGCATATGACCTATGGTTAAGACTAATATAGGCGCCATGTACACGGTACACATCTGAACGATGGAAACTGACTGCTGGAAAACGTAGGATAAAAAAAATTTGTTTAGCTGCGTTTGCATACCGCATTTATGAGAGTTTGCGTTTAGAAGCGTTTTTTTTAAGATAACCTCAGGAGACCTTCCAAAATGCCCATAAAGCACTGAAAACAGTAAAATATTAACTATTTCAGACATATTGAGAGAAATAGAGAGAGCAGAAGCAGAGAGTGCAGCATGTGTTGAGATCAGGGTGTGACTGACAACTCATGGGGCCCCCGGGCAATAGGGGATCATGGGGCCCCTGTGTCCTTGCCCAAACTCAAAAAAGCCTATGAAAAAGGTACCAGGGGCATCTCATGGGGCCCCACACTGACCCCAGGCCCTCGGGCAGTGCCCGAGTTTCCAAATGGCCTTGTTGAGATTAGTTTTTTTTGTGGTGTTTGGATGTGTTCTATCTGATTTCTGTGCAGAAATTATTGCAGCAGTGTCTAACATTTTTTCATGCAAAACCACAAAGTATGGTGTGCTAGGTCCATTTTCCATGCATTTTTCATGATGAAAAAAGGCTCTGGACAGCATCGGGGAAGAGTTAAAAATTTTTCAAACGCAAACGCCTTTAAACGCGGTTAGCCGCGTTTACAAGCATTTAGCATTTGAAATGCTGATAAAATCTAATGCTGAACGCAAGTTTTCTGCGTTCAAAAAACAACTGTAAACTCAACTGCCTGGTAAACGACTATGTGTACATGGACAAAACATTAGGGAGAGTTCAAGGGCTGCTGAAAAAAATGCAGAAAAAATTGTGAGCTTTTCATGCATTTTTCATGAACAAACATTTAGGAGAAGTTCATGAAAAAAGGCTCTGGACAGCATCTGGAAATGGAAGAGTTAAAAAAAGAAAACACAATCAAACGCAAAACCTTTTTTTTCAACGCCTCGCCAAAACCATGATTGAAAATTTTGAGAGCGCACAATTTTTAAAACTGAAAATACATCTCCCATAATAGTAATTCATCCCCCATAGTAATTCATCCCCCATATAGTAATTCATCCCCCATAGTGTTTTCAGCCCCATAGCTTTAATACAAGCATTTAGCATTTGAAATGCCCCATGATAAAAATTCTAATGCTGAAGTATTTCGCAAGTTTTCTGCGTTCAAAAAACCCTCTGTAAACTCCCCCCAACTAGTATTTCCTGTAAACGACTATGTGTACATGGACAAAAATTCATTCAGGGAGAGTTTCATCCCTCAGGGCTGCTGAAAAAAAATGCAGATTTCAAATAGCTCCTAAATTTCATGTGTATTTCATCAGCTGCAGTGTATTTCATCATGAGCATCCCCCCATATAGTTTTCCTGTAATTCAGAATCAGTAGAATTCTCCCCCCATTTGCACCTTTGCATGACATGTTATAGTAATTCATCCCCCAAGATATCCCCCCATAGTATTTCATCCCTCATAAAGAATTCATCATAGTATTTCAGTACTATTCCCCCCCCCCCCCCCTTCTAGTATCATTAGACAAGTGAGAAACACAATGGAGACAATGGACTGGGGCCCACTTAGACTGGGTAAAGAGCCGCATGATTGACTAGATGATTTTTTTTTTTCCACTCAAAGATATTTAGCCTTTGGCTTATGAGCTGCTATTGCTAGTGAACATAAAATGCAATTTTCACATTTTTGTTCATCCTTTCTTGTATTCCAATGCTTCCTCTTTCAGCTGTTTCCTATTTACATGCTTTGCCTCCAGTGATGGCTGAACATCCATTGCTCTGGACTATTTTATTTTTATATTTATTTATTTCAGGTACTTATATAGCACCGTCAATTTACGCAGCGCTTTACATACATACAGTCTACAGTATATATTGTACATTCACATCAGTTCCTAACCCTCAAGGGGTGTACAATCTAAGGTCCCTAACTTACATTCATACATACACATATTAGTGCAATTTAGACAGGATCCAATTAACCTACCAGCATGTCTTTGGAGTGTGGGAGGTAACCGGAGGAAACCCACACAGGCACAGGGAGAACATGCAAACTCCAGGCAGGTGGTGTCGTGGCTGGGATTCAAACGAACAACTCTAGTACTGCCAGGCAGACGTGCTAATCATTTAGCCACTGTGCTGCCCTAGTTTACTGAAAGTAATAATGGAGGCCTGCGTCTGCCAATTTGTATCAGCATGACCACATGTAGTCCCCACCAGACACGCATGTGACAATGTGACAAAGCAGAAGTCCAATTGAAGAATTCCCCAGGTATTTTTGATTCAGCTACCAATTTAAAAAAAAATTAAAAACAACCTCTGAAATGTAACTATTATGTTCAAGTTTATATCAGATTTTAGTGAAAGGAATTTGGTCTACTTAAAGAAATGACTGTAGATACCAATACATTGTTCCACTTCAAATTGAGATACTACATATAATTGATTTTCATGAAACTGTTTAAAGTACTACTTGTGATCAAAAAGTTTGAATAAAATATGTCTTTATAGGTGCTGACATTTTCATGTTTGATTGTATTTGCTTTTCTATTTCGTTATTTTTTATTATTTCAGTTTTCTTTTATCATTTTATATCAGGCAGCAGATGCAACTTTGTTTTATTTTTGCCCCCGTAAAAAGAAAAGTTTTGTCTTGTTACCTTTATCTTCAGCAGTGTCTGATTCATTGTGACTCGTGGTAAATTCACTAGAAATGTTATGTCCCAAGGCATTCTGTAGCTCCATGAGATGGCTGGCAGCTTGGTGAATGTCATTCTGTATATCCTCCAGCAGACTCTCTTGGCTTTCTACTGCTTGAATGATTTCCGTTACTTCTGAAAAACAGTAAAAAAATGACCACGTGTCTAGGCAAGATCATGGGGCTGCCAGGTGCCTGGAAATTGCCACTAGAGCACGGGTGTCAAACTGGTGGCCCTCCAGCTGTCTCCAAACTACAAGTCCCATGAGGCATGGCAAGATTGACAGTTACAAGCATGACTCCCAAAGGTAGAGGCATGATGGGACTTGTAGTTTTTCAACAGCTGGAGGGCCGCCAGTTTGACACCCCTGCACTAGGGGAAGAAACATTTTGAATTTGAAGAAAATTATTAATGTTTAGAATTATAATAAACATGCTGCCATTGCTGAAATACTTTTCTTTTGAAAATACACACACACACACTCTCTCTCTCTCTCTCTCTCTGCATGTTGAAATGCGTTTTTATTACAAAATATAGGAAAAATAATTTTAATACATTTCAAATATTCTGTATGTCTTTAAAAATACAAATCTACATTTTTGGAATGCATTTACAAATATATGTAAAAAGATATGTTAACCACTTGCACTCCTGAGGATTTACCCCCCTTAATGGCAGGCCTTTTTTTTTTGCTACTCGGCGCTGCACTAATTCAATGGATAATTGCGCCGTCATGCAATGCTGTACCCAAACGAAATTTACTCCTTTTTTCACACAAATAGAGCTTTCTTTTGGTGGTATTTTATCACCTGTGCGATTTTTATTTTTTGCGCTATAAACAAAAAGAACACGAAAATTTTGAAAAAAACTGATATTTTCTACTTTCAGCTATAAAAAATATATAAATGAAAAACCAAGTAAAGCTTAATACATTTCAAAAGCCTTTCTAAGAGTATGACATAAAAATGGGTGTGCAGCGCTATACAAATAAAACACACTGTCATAAAAAATATGACAAAAAAGTCCTATAAACTGAATAATATACATCCAAGGTAATGTGAAAAAGGTATGCATGGAGTGTACAAATCCCAATGGGTATATTCCAACATCATGTAAAAAAATTGCCCACTCACCGAAGTGCAATTTAATGTGCACCACTTGCAAGTCTCCTGAGGTGATTCTACCCCCCTTAATGATGGCCTGGACCTGAAATTCTCCTGCCTGGGTGGACTCCTAGAATGCTGGGCTGAGATGTGAAGGCTACAGTGCCAGGTGCTAGCTCTAATGGTGTAGTATTATGAAATATATTTATTAAGTAAAGATCATCATGATAAAATAAAACACGTACAGGGTTAAAGTACCTATGTAGATATAATGTGAAATGAGCTGTTTGAATACACTGACCAGTGGGTAAAAAGTGATGGCCACCGGACCTCCTGATCCGGTGGCGTAACGTCAAGGCGTGCAGAGGCTCCTCCTAATCATAATACTACACCATGAGTATTTCCATCTTTGGCACTGAGCCTTCACATCTCAGCCCAGCATTCTAGGAGTCCACCCAGGCAGGAGAATTTGGGATATAGGTCCAGGCCATCATCTCTGGCAGCCGTTACCCCATTTACCACCAGAGGGCACCTTCACCATCAGGCTGTACCTTCACGGCGACTTCCGGCTTCATGGAATTTCTATTAAATTGCACTTCCGGTGAGTGGGCAATTTTTCTACACCTTCATGTCATAAAAAAACCCATTGGGATTGAAGTCATTCACACTCCATCACTGGAATATACCTTTTTGGACTGATATCACATTACCTTGGACTTATAGGACTTTTTTGTCATATTTTGTCATACTTATGACAGTGTGTAAATAAACCCCATTTTTATAGTAAACTCAAAGTTAGTCATAAATTTAAACCAAAATGTATTCTGCTACATGTTTTTGGTGAACAAATCCCAATAAGTGTATATTGATTGCTTTGTGTGAAAGTTATAGCGTCTACAGACTATGGTATAGATACTGGAATTTATGCCTTTTTTTGCTATACAGCGCTGCGCTAGTTTAACTGACAATTCTGCGGTCATGCAATGGTGTACATAAATGAAATTACGTCCTTTTTTTCACATAAATAGAGCTTTCTTTTGGTGGTATTTGATCACCTGTGCGCTTTTTATTTTTTGCGCTATAAACAAAAATACCACGAAAATTTTGAAAAAAAACCCGTTACTTTCTACTTTCGGCTATAAAAAATATATCGTAAATTCAAAGTTAGTCATAAATTTAAGCCAAAATGTATTCTGCTACATGTTTTTGGTAAAAAAATCCTAATAAGTGTATATTGATTGTTTTGTGCGAAAGTTATAGTGTCTACAAACTATGGTATAGATACTGTAAGTTATGCCATTTTTTGCTATACAGCCATTTTGGCCACTAAATTTATAGGTACCTAGTGCGACTCACGGGGAAAAGAGCACCTGGCTGTCAGGGACTGCTTGAACCACTACATAAAATTTACCGACGAGTGCTAACAGAGATCAGGCCTGATTCTGTGAACACTGGGGTTTTGTGTATAATGTATCAAGTAACAGTTATCTACTGACACTGCACTTGCTGGGGGAGAAGGGGGGGGGGCGTAGGGGCTAAACGCAGGTGCTGGTAGGTGTCGGGGCTGATCCCGCTAACACTGCATTTTTGGGGATACTATACTAATGTGAACGCTGGTATAGTGCTGATGTGATCAAAGATATTGATCCAATCAGACACTATACTAGCAATAGAGGTTTAGCGTGCAAGTGAGCGTGTTCCTGGCAATCAAGGGGTCAAATGTGATTACTTGTGTACTAGCGGCAATCTGACGCTATCTGGGAGGGGCGCTAACTGACGCTAACACTATCGGAAGTCGCCAGTGACACTAATACAGTGATCAGTAAAAATCTGTTCACTGTAATCAATGACACTGGTGACAGGGCAGTGAAGGGGTTAACTGGGGGGGGGGGGTGATCAAGGGGTTAAATGGGATTATTGGTGTACTAGCGGGCAAACTGGTGCTATCTGGGAGGGGCGCTAACACTATTGGAAGTCGCCAGCGACACTGATACAGTGATCAGTAAAAATCTGTTCACTGTGATCAATGACACTGGTGACAGGGCAGTGAAGGGGTTAACTGGGGGGGCGATCAGGGGGTTAAATGTGACCTAGGTGTTTTCTAACTGTAAATGTGTAGTGTTTTACTCATGTTTACTGTGTCTTTTTCTCTCTCTGGGACGGAATGTGCCCAGGTAGAGAAGAATGACATCATATCCTGTCCTGTGTAAATGTCAACACAGGACAGGATAGGACTGGGACCGATCATCCGATTTCAGGCAGACATCACTAGCTGAAACCGAATGATTGATCCCTCAAGGATCAAATAGTAACAGTCGTGGGTCGGCGGGGGCTCGCGTGCGCCCCCCCTGCCCGCGAAAACATCGGGAGCGCAGAGCACGTTTAAAAACATGCTTTTGCGCAGCCGTACCACCCTGCCGCCGTTTTAATACAGTGGCTGGGCGGCAAGAGGTTAAAATGACTTTTTTTATATGTTAAAAAAATCTGAAGAATATATTTTTTTACATATAAAAAGTCATTTTAAGATATCTTTTTACATATATTTGTAAATGCATTCTGAAAATGTAGATTTGTATTTTTAAAGACATACAGTATATTTTCATATATTTTGTAATAAAAACGCATTTCAACATGCAGCATATATATATATATATATATATATATATATATATATATATATATATATATATAAAATATATTTTTAAATATATTGAATATGGCCAAAATTGTAACATTTCAAATATATGGCAATATATTTGGGAAGCATATTTTTAAAATATATTTCAAATATATTTTTCTTCCATATGGGTTGCTCTTGTGGCAACTGTCAAATGGTGGATTTCCTTCTCATTGGATATGTTCTCACTTCCTGTTGACTATTGTGACAGTGAATGGGAAAGCTCCCTGAGGAGACAGATGAAAAAAACAGATAATGGCTTTAACCCTCTTCTACTCTATCCCCAATAGAAAATAGGTTTTAGCTTCAGATATATTTTGTTACTCCCCTGGAACAAGTAGTAGATGACATTTCCTGAAACTGAAATATTCGTTTTCAGTTTATTGATCCTAAAACCTAAGTTTAGCTACAATGAAAAACAGAAAAATCAGCACAAGGGATGTAACTTACAGATATTATCATGTGTCCCTTGCATTGATTCTTCTTTTATGAGAAATCTTCCATCCCTGCCCCCCTTTACAAACCTCTGGTGCCATGGGGGTTAATACAGCTAAAGGGCTGTCAGGAGCACTCATCAAGAGAGCTCAATTATGCCTGCCCATTCTTGCTAGATCTACCATTCATATCATCTCTGAATTGAAGGGGTGGAGAAAGAAGAAGAATGAACACAGGGGACACAGTATACTAAGTGTAAGTTATGTCCCTTTTGCTTATTTTTCTGTTTTTCATTTTAGCTAAAATTCACCTTTAACAATCTAGCTTTTCCTCTTTACTCTAAAGAAGATTGTGTTTTGGTTGTACGTTTTTGACAAGATCTTTGGACAATGGAAGTGAGAAAAACTTTTGGTAAACTGTTGTATTGTGAGAAAACACTTCAAGAGTTATTTTAAAAAAATGCAAACATGCTGAGCAACCTATGTACCACTGTATGTGCCCAAAGGGGACATCATTTATGAACATAGCTCTTAAAGAGGAACTGCAGTCAAGCTCGCTGAATCAAAAAAAACCCATCAGTATTCAGTTTAAACATTGTACAGCAGAATTTGGAAATAGTAGAAAAACAATATTTTTGATTTTTTGCTATTAAATGTCCAGTAAAAAAAAATTTAAAAATGAAATTTCGGCATAAATATAGGCCAAAATGTATTCTGCCTCATGTCTTTGCTAAAAAAAAAATCCCAATACATGTAAATTAAATGGTTTACATGAAACTTTAAGCATTTACAAATGGCGGAATAGCTACTATAATTTTTTTTTTTTAAATTTTTACTAGTAATGGCAGCGATCAGCGACTTATATCGGGACTGCAGCAGGCATTCTGACATTGGGGGGAACTGACTTGGTGTCGCTGACATCCCCAGTGACGCTAATACAGTGATCAGTGCTAAAAAAAGCACTGACACTGTACTAATGACACTGGGCAGGAAGGAGTTAACATGTGGGGTGATCAAAGGGTTAACTGTGTGCTGTGTGCTGTTTTACTATGGGCTGTGTGTCTGTGCTTCACTGTAATCATACTGCTTTGGATGGCTGTGCTGTGCACAGCCATCCAAAGCAGTGTGCACGAGCTGACAGGGAGGAGAACTGTATTGTTTACATACAGTTCTCCTCCCCGTTGGAGATGCTCGGCAATCACCGAGTGCCAGCGAGTAATCACCAGTCGGGACCCAGTGATTAACAGCTGCGAATGACAGCGCTGGTAGGGCACCTCCTACCTGGGAATGCAAAATCACGTATATATATATATATATATATATATATATATATATATATATATATACACACACACATGATTTTGCACACTCGTGCCACCCTGTAGCAGTATATCTGCTATAGGGTGGTCGGGAAGCAGTTAAATTTCCTTTTATACTTCTTATACACAATGTAAAACATTATCCGTTTACATAGGAGGACCTTACCTGCATTTACTGGGGCTTTTTGCGTTTCCTCAGCTTTAGATGTGTGTTCCAGAAGAATAGGAATAGAATTGGGATCTGTGTGAACCAAGAGTTAGCGAGATTTTGTATGAGCACATGCAAAAATAACAGAATCTATTGTTTCAGCTATAAAAACTCATTATTTCTTGACAGTGCAAAGAGCAATAATAGGCAATAACCACAATAAGCTAGTTGTCTTTACACTTCGAGCAGTTAAAACAAAGCAAAAGATGATTGCTGATTGATTATTACCTTTTGCTCTTGTGCATATCCAATATTAGCTATAATCGTAGCTACCAGCCATGCTATATATACACTCACCGGCCATGTTATTAGGTACACCTTGCTAGTATCGGGTTGGACCCCCTTTTGCCTTCAGAACTGCCTTAATTCTTCGTGGCATAGATTCAACAAGGTGCTGGAAACATTCCTCAGAGATTTTGGTCCATAACATGAGTTACTGTTGCCTTTCTATCATCTTGAACCAGTCTACCCATTCTCCTCTGACATCAACAAGGCATTTTCCTCCACAAAACTGCCGCTCATTGAAATTTTTCTCTTTTTCGGACCATTCTTTGTAAACCGTAGAGATGGTTGTGCGTGAAAATTCCAGTAGCTCAGGCCAAATACTCAGGCCACATTGCCTTGCACCAACAACCATGCCACGTTCAAAGTCACCTAAATCCTCTTTCTTCCCCATTCTGATGCTCGGTTTGAACTTAAGCAAGTCATCTTCACCACATCTAGATGCCTAAATGCATTGAGTTGATGCCATGTGATTGGCTGATTTGCAATTTGTGTTACCAATCAATTGAACATGTGTACATAATAAAGTGGCTGGTGAGTGTATAAGTAGCACCCTCCTAATTAGGTGCTAGATCTCCTACAGGGGAGTTGCTTGTGATTACTTTGTCTGCTCTGAGTTTCACAGGCTGTAGGTTTGACTGCTTCCCCCTGTCTTCTGGATGGTTCTAGAAAGTAAAGGGCTGGGAGAGTCTGAATATTTATGTGGCCCCAGCCAATCCCTGGGGAAGGATGCCCAGTCGGTGGCTGGGAGGGAGTAAAAATAGTCTGAGGCCTGGAGCAGCAGAGTTTTCCAAGAGGAGAGAATCCCAGCCTGTAGGGCTGTTGCCCTTCTGGGCAGTCTAGCTTTACTTTTGCATTTCTCATTGAGGTCCCAGCTGTGTTAGCTGGGGGGGGGGGGGTCTATTCTACTGAACTTTGTTGGAACTGATCAAGGGATTTCTTTTGGGGATCTGGTCTGGAGAGTCCACGGAAACATGTCTGGCTGATATTGGAAGGAGACATCCAAGTATCTAGGGACATTTGTGAGTACAGACCAGTGTGTGATATCCCAGTGACTGTGCTGCTGCTAGCCCACTGGAATCATGGTCAGCCTGTGCTTAAAAAAGGGACATTCCTTATAGTGTCCCTGTGTAGCTGAATTCATCATTTGCTGCTGCAAGGACTACGCTAGGAAGTTTGAGGAAGTGAGAGGTGTCCTCAAGTTGTTACTTTGCCCTACAGGAGTTTCCCATAGCTACCCTGCACCTACCCAATTTCAAGTTTAGTAAAGCTTCAGAAAGGGGATATCCTTAGACTAATCATTGAGTCAGAAGAGAAAAAGACTATATGCCAGGCTACTAGTGCACTAACTGGGGAAAGGACCAAATCAGCAGGCCCTATCAGGGGTGAGCGCTACATATACAGTATATCATGATTTTCTCTAGTCTCAGAATTAATTTACATCAGACTATTTGTTCTAACCTTACCAGCATATTCACATGTCGAGCCAGTATATCCAGGACAGCATTTCCAGTCTAAACCGGTAATAAATTTTCTTTTTATTTCATAAACTGGTCTTTGAGCGAGTCTGTACCTGTAAAACAAACATCTACTTAATCATGGCTGCTTTTCTGTTATTTAAAAACAAAATCCTAAAATGGGACATCATCAACACCACGTTTTTAGTTGTGTTTGGAGTAAGGCATGGTTTGGTGTTTTTTTTATTGTTGTTTGTGACTCCAAAATAGAGATCTACCTCTCTCTTATAGGCCTACTGTGACAATTGGACTTTAAACATGACCTGAATTTTCCACTCTCTGAAGTGATTTCTCCAAGATAATATACAAAAAGGCCATTCCAAAGCGAGGAACCAGAAAGTTCCAAGTAGAGTGACTGTAGGACCAGAAGTAGATCTCCCCATTGTCTTCTACACACTACTGAAACATCAGAGGGAAGTTGTGCTTTAATTTACAACTCATTGTTGTGTATATACAATACTTCAATATAACTATAGAATCAATATGTTAGATACATATTCAGAGACTCTAAAAGACCTCTGTGTTTTCATATTATTTGCCTACAAACCAAGGTTTTGGTGTTTACAAAGGTGACAAGTTGTTATCTTTTGTAGGCTTCAGCAAAATGGCGTCCATCTGCACACAGACACTGACTCCCTGTTGCATGAATGTGAAAAAAATCAGTAAAAGATGGCTTCATCTCCTGTTCTCCACCTATAGAGAACTCCTCAGATATGTTTCTCCCTTTTTAGAACTTAATCATAGAGGTCTAACATAGAGGTGTAGATTAAGCAACACCACCCTAACATATTTCTCCAGGTGAGTGAAGGGTTAGCTTCAGGCCAAGTACTGGGTCTTCATTGTTCCTTGAAACCCTGGGGTGAGGTGGGATAACGTAACAATTTAAAAGCTCATTTGGATGTCAAGCTACTGTTTTCACCTGTAAGTTGTGAGTTTTCCACTTCTTCCCACAGAGAATCCACCTGCATGCAAGGCTACATAATGATGCCTTATGATCCCTGTAGTGGGTGCTTTGTAGGAATTCAGAATCCAGTCCACTGGCGTAACTTGCCAAGCTTTCAGATGCCATGGTAATGCAGGTGGGGGAAGAGCTCATTGTGATTATTCCATTTAGATTAAAGAATGCTTCAATACAACTCAATAGGAGATGGGTGAACATGGCAATTTGCAGTGTAGTGGCTCCTTAAAGTGTATGTTAAGCCAAATCTTTTTTACTTTTTTTTTTTAGCTGTAGATAGAGAATGGTTAAAAACAAATATTTCCTTTATCCCACCAAGGAGATTTTCCTTCAGTTCCTGTCCTCGAGATGGTAAATGAAATAGCACCATGTGCCCCATTCAAGGATTTTCTTCACCTCTTGCTCTGATGACAATTTTTTTAAAATTTCCCCTCACTTTCATTCTTACTGACAATGACATATAAAGAGGTAAATGTCCCCATCTGAGATACATATAGCAATACAAACTTGACAAAGGGTCTAACCCTTTATTTTTCCAAGCTAAAATAAATGTTGCCTTTGCATACACTTTAGGTATATTTAAATATTAAAGTTCCAGGATTTCCATTTCTATACTCACATAGTCTTTTGACAGTCTGGGGTTCCAAAGGGACAGGGCTGCTGAGACCTTATCACATATTTCTCCGTTCTGCATAAATCCACATATGATACCACTTGGCTTTTCACCACTGAACACCATTTTCTAGTTAGAGAAAAAAGAATACGTTGATAAAACATGCATGCATTACCTTGCAATGAACACGTCACCTTTTACTCAAAAAGAACTTCATGAAAGTGTACCTCCAGCTTAATTTTTTTGAGTTTGAAATAGAATGTGCAAGGATTAGAAAGGGTCCCTTTCGGGTTTATACCGCTCTCTGCTGGGGCTCTATCCATAGATTGTCCTTCACTTACTGATTCCACCAGACAGGGGGTGAGTGAAAATTTCCAACAACACACACAGAAATAAAACCCTGAACTCCTAGCCCTGTTGAAAACTAGAGGAAATGTTTTTGGTGGAGTTGGGCTTTAAAGTGGAACTAAACTCTGTCAATCAACATTTTTTTTTTTATGTTAAAAGCATTTAACATGGATAGAGGCCGCAGGATTTGGCCAACATTGATTATTTTTAATCCTTATGCCTCTAGCCTTAGCTAATAAATAGGCAGGGGCGTCCCTAGGGTTGGTGTCACCCGGTGCGATAACACTTGGTGACACCCTCTCCGACGATCCCTGCAGAATGGATCGGATCTGCGGATTGAGCATAATGGATCGGACTCTGATCCATTATGCTCCCCAATCCACAGATCCGATCCATCCTGCGGGGATCGTTGGCTTTCTTTACAACTTACCTTTTCGTGAAGCGGGTCCGGTGTCACCCCGTATAGGTTGCATGCCAACGATCCTCGCAGGATGGTTCAGATCTGTGGATTGAGCATAATGGATTGGAGTCCATCCTGCGGGGATCATCAGCATGCAACCTATACGGGGTGACGCTGGACCCGCTCCATGAAAAGGTAAGTTGTAAAGAAAGCCGACGATCCCCACAGAATGGATTGGATCTATCCTGCGGGGATTGTCGGCTTGCTTTACAACTTACCTTTTCATGGAGTGGGTCCGGGTCACCCTGTGGTGTCACACCCGGAGCACCTGCCTCGGGATGCCTTTGTAGATAGGAAAGTATATTATTGTATATTTACTTGTTTTAACCTTTTTTTTAACATTTCTTATATTGCATCCTGGTTTCTGGCCTAGGCCAAAAATTATATCATACATCCCAGGAGTTTTCATAGACCTTTTATTTTCTTTCATCTGGGGAAAGAGGCTTTCTCAGCTACACACACACCTCCTGCTTGCTTGCCTACGCCAAGGACAGATGAGTTCCAGGAAGTAAATGCTACATTATCTGCCCTTACTCAAGATGGCCTCAGCTTTGTTTTCAAAGGGATTTCTCACCAAAATAAAGAATGGAGACATGGATGGATGGGTGAGTTTGTTTTGATTATTAAAAATGAATTAAATAGCATTTTGTAGTGCTCAGATACAGTTTAATTCTACTTTAATACTTATGTAAAGGTAATACTTTTTCAGTTTTGGATAGAGTTTGGAAGATTTTTGGTGATGTAAGATGTTTGTTGTGGCCTGTGTTCTTACTTCCTGTTTACATCTTCAAGGCAGGAAGCAAATGGAAATATCCCCGGCAGGATGCAGGCCACAAAAATGAACCTTGTAGGTGTT